GGCGTCAAACAACTGGTTACGTCGGGACCATATTGCAAACAGACTAAATGTTAGAGGACTGTATTGTAAGTTTTAAAAGTTGGGGGACCTAAATGCAAGCTTCAAAAAAGTTCAGTGACCATTACTATACTTTACCCTTAGTTAAATGAAGAAAAATGAAAAAGACGAAATAAACTATATCATTCAAATTATTTAATTACATTATTTTATATTTTAAATTATTTCTAAGTTTTAATTTCTAAACTTGATTAAATAAGCCGGATGAGTTTCAATTATTAATATTGTTAAATTAAATTGAATATAATCAATTACCAATTGGCGCAATACAATACAGGGTTAACCTCTCAAGCAATGGAGAAGAGAGAAATTAGTTAGAAATGTTTTTATAATGAGAAAGTGATTTTTCACCTTACAAAGCAACACCAAATATTTAAAAGTTGATTTAAAACCATAGTTAAAAAAATGGTTTTTAATTTAACTTCAAAAACTAAAATTTTATCGGTTATTATAAAAAATCTATTTTGAGGTGAAATTATATTTTATTTTCAATTATTTAATTTTAGTTAATTTTTAAATTATACACATACATAATAATTGTTTATTAATTATTAGAACTTTAAAAACATTTTATGTATAATAATTTAATAGAAAACATTTTAATAGTAATTGCAAGAATTTAAATTTTAAACTACACTTTTCACTAACATTCTTAAAAATATTTTTTTGTAGTATTTTTTGAAAATTACTTTTCAAAATCAATATTACACTGTCTTAAGTTGCGACAATAATTCTATAAGTATTTATAATACATTAATAAAAAAATAATTGGTAAACATAAATTAGATTTTTTTAATGGATACACATAAGTTAGAAATCATTTTCTATATTATTTTTGTAAATTCAAACTAATATCGAGTTTTCGAGCTCGGTGGACAGTGGGAAACAATAATTCCCTTAGGTGCGTTTAGTTCACGAAATATAAAATTACGAGTAGGAATAAAAGATTATCAGGGAATAAGATTACTGAGAATGTTGTATTTTGTGTTTGGTTGGTTTAACATGAATGTAAGATTACCGTATTTAGTTAAAGGAATAAAAGATTATTGGAATGTATATTTGAAAAAAATTGTCCTTATTATATATTTATTTTTTTTAACAAGTTAAAAAATATTTATATATTTTCTTTAAAAAATTTAAATTCATAAAATTTATATAATTTTTTTATAAAATTAAAAATACAAAAAGGTTTAATGAAAGAGTAAAATTTTATTTTAACCCCTGAACTTCATATAAAAGTTTAATTATAGATTTTTTTTGTAAATCTAAAATAGTTTAAGGATAAATTTATAATTTAACCTTCGTAGAATTTTTATTATTTAATGACAGAATAAATATATATTTTTTAAAAAAAATTAAAGACATTTTAATTTAAAACGCTGATAATTCAACAATACCTAAAAAAAAATAATAACAATCTTAATTATATACCTCAAAAAATTTACTATTAATAATAAAACATTACCGGCTAAACCTCGAACCAAACAGCCACGAACATCAGCGTCCCCAGAAACAACGGCAGGATATTTCTATCGGTTTCTGTTCTTTTTGGTTTTAGTTCATGTGGCGTACTTAAAAACTTTCCATGATGTCAAAGCCCTTTTCAATATACAATTAAATAGCCAATGTCTCCATTTTATCTATGTTCAACAAAAATATTATCGTACACCCATAAAAACCATTTGGGAAACTTGTTTTTTCTCAACTTCTCTCCGCTTCTTACCTTGCCAATCGTCGCATTCATTCAATTTCAGAGAGGAAAGGTGAAATCTTTTACTTTTAATTTCTCATTTTTCTCAATTGGGTTTTCACTTTTTGTGCTGTTTTCGGTGTTGCACGTCGATGCGTGTTTATAAAAAGAGTGGGTGGCAATTGATTTTTAGTTTCATTTCTGTGGTTAAATTGAAGCAATAAAAATGTTGCATTTTTCCCTCTCTTTTAAGAGCATAAGTTTTATAGCAATAAATGAGTTGAAGACAGCAGTTTCCAGATTAGATTCATGGTGGGTTCACATTTTGTGAGAATTTCTGGGGAAAATGAAAATTCTGAAGATTAGATTATGTTTTGTGATGATGGATAGTTTTAAACGAGTTAATTGTGGAAACTGGGGTAATCTTTTTGTGTGTTATTTTGGTATTTTACTTAAGCATTTTTATCTGATATAATAAATTTATAATGCAAAAAGTTCATGAGAAATTTGAATGGAAATTTTAGATTTTGACTATCTGCATAAGTTTTTTACATAGAGAGATGGATATGGAGAATGGTTTTCTTCTTTCTTAGGTATCTTTATTATATTCTGATCAATTGCATTCAAGATGAAAGTTTAAAATCTGATTCCATTACTATGTTTCTCCGACTCTTCATTTTTGTCGAAGCATCCATGTCTGACATATTCGGACATAGGTTGGTGATATTACAATTAAAACACAAGGAAAAACTTGGAAAACAAATAATTTGAGCATATCCGTGTTGGACTCATATGAGTATCTGACACTCACTCTCGAGCTTGATTACACTAGTATGCCTATGCCAGAATTTAGGGGTTTACCAATGAAGAATGTGTTAGCTCTGACTAAGAAATATTCATATTGATTTGTTAATGCGAAAGAACGAGTTTATTGGTGTCAAACCAAAAATATACTTATAAATTTCTGTTTCAGGCTTGTCTAGATTTAGCAAGGAAGTAATTTCACATATTTATCACTAAAAGCATCTTTAGAAATAAAAAGGGACTGTTTTGGAGTATGAAAAATTGACTAGGTAGTACCTATAATCTTGCATGACATGTTTGTTAGTGTCGAAGTAAATGCGTTTTGCCTGTACCAACTACAGTACAGTGTGCCTAATTGCTTACTTTGCCATTAGATATATTTTCTGTTACATGCGTGTTTTCTGGACTGCATATATATTCTAGTAGAACGTAGCTGATAAAATTCAATATATCGTTCCTGTCTAGTTGTACATAATAATGCAGATAATGGCATGCAGAAGTAGTAAAGACGGCATAATAGTGTTATGCATTTGTAATATAGAATAGTCCGGAGTTATGCTTCATACACCACCCGCAACCTGAGTGAGGAAGCTGGTTTGAGATAAAAGAAAATGGATAAAGGTTTTTCTTATATCAATTGTTGTTTATTTGGAAAATATTCTTAAAAAGGCTATAAAAGAGAGATCTGAAGTATGAAATACACTATTTGTGGTATTATTCTCGGTTTGTTTCATTGTGTGCAAGAGTTATGCCCATATTCTTTTCAGATGATTTTCTATATCCTGAATTGGAGAATCCTTTCTTTGTTTTCTCGTTTGTTTCTCTACGAATTAAGAACGGCTTTGAAGAGATTTATTGTCTCGCAAACTTGACTATTAGACCAACTTCTATGTTCCACATGAATGCTTTCATATTCACCTTTATGATTGTGTGGATGACGGCAGACCTCGGAACTTGTTAAAAACGATTGGGGTAAGATATTTTTCATACATCAATTTTTGGTTAAATGAATAGACCTTGATTTAGATGAGTGTGGCACGTAAGAAAGTCGTCGGTTATATTATCCTCCTCATAGATGCTTCCAAAACTATTCATGTTGATTGTCATTTGCCAGCAATGGCTTATATTTGGTTGTCAGTTTCTAGAAATGGCATGCACTTTAGTATGTGTTAAACTTTCGCTATCAGGTAAATTTTACGTTTTTACGGATTCCTAACGCTGCAAAATTTGGTAGAAAGTTTACCGTTTTAACTTTTGCTTTTTTCTCTTGGGATTCTTTGATATCCTTTCCTCTACATGCCTACCACTTGTTGTAATGCATGAACTCCTATATTGCCACTTTGAAAGCGAATCTGTCATTAGACGAGCGTTATAAGTTTTGAACTTATCTTTCTACCTCTATAAGTATTTTCTAGTTGTTTTTTCTCGACAGCTGCCATGGACACCGATTGTAATCTGTGATCCCCAAACCCTTTCTTCTTCTTGCTTGATATTTGTTCATTCATTTGTAAATCTATGCATGTGATATCCTTAGAATATATATCTCTTTTAAGTCTAGCGTGAGTGATGAAGGATTGCTGCTGACTTGTTTGTTAGATTGCAAATTTTTTGTCGTGTAAAAGATGTAAAATTCAGATCTTCCTCGATTTGATTCATTTTGTTGAAAATAGCCGGACTGATGCGGATTTTTTTTTTGAGAAATAACTGATGTGGATTCTTGATTAGAAATGTGGTTTATAGCTAACTTTACCCCTTTGTTGCAGTCATCAGGCTTTCGGTTCTTTAAATCAAGGCTATGTGATACTGTTCACCCTGTTGGTCATAATTTTTTCTAAAGATTGATGCATGTTTATAACCGATATTTCGAGATTATATTTGAAGAAAACTAAAATACAGATGATTTTATTGGCAGGCTGCAAAATAGGTACGGAATAGCTGAGGAGCAACACAGTGGTATGTTATTTTCTTCATGCATTTTTCTCTAGTATTTTATTGTTTTTTTTCCGGTCTTTGCTTTCTTGATATCATCTTGGTTGCGTTATTCGATTCATGTTTTTTTCCTTTTCCCATACTACTTTTAACTGTTTCATGCTGATGCATCGATTATGTTGTTATAGTGTCTAGTCTATGCATGTATTGGACTGATGAGATCAAGTCCAAAATTCTGAATGTGACAGTGGTGTGTTCATAGTGTAATTTAATCTATCCTGAAAGGATTAAAAAGGTGCTGTTTCTAAGTTCAATCCGCGAACATTGTGTTTGTAGTGCATACGAAAGTTATGTCTGGAATGGAAATGATACTCACTGAAAATAGTACATTTTAATATCTTACCAATGGTGAATGTGTCCATTATAATGATAATCTCGGGATTTGTTACCCCAAAAAAATACTGATATCTGCTGCCTGTGTAGCTTTCTCATTGGATGAAGGAGGTGAAGAGGACTAGAAATGGATGAAACTGGTGGTGAATGTGTTTATCAAGATAAGTGGTACGATGTAGACGTGCTTTTCAATATACTCTCAAGGCTTCCGATTGAGTCAATTTTAGTATGCAAATTCGTTTGCAAGCATTGGCGTCGGTTGATAAGTTGTCAGGCTTTCATCGATGAGCAGCTACTCTGGTCTCGGAAAAACTCGATTTACTTGGTTTATCCATTCATGGATGTCATGTTGGAGTTATATTTTGTGAAGAGTAGCGGCGAAATCGCTAAAACGATGAACTTTCCGTATTGTGACAACTTTTCTCCGATTACGTTCGTTTGTTCCTTTGATGGTTTACTCTGTTGTATCAACTATCCATGGAAAGTGGACTTGAACAGGGTGGTTGAGGATGAAACCGATCTGGAAATCCGGTTCTGCAACCATGTTACAAGAAAAGCTCTATTGATTCCAAAAGGTAGCCCATCCAAAGAAAAGCCTTCCATTGGGGTTGCTTTTGGTCCAAAAATCAATGAATACAAGATATTTCGATTTTTCTCTGCCAAGCGCATATCCCTAGCTAAACAACAATCCCGTGTTAATCGTGGACAATGTGAGGTATATTCATCGAGCACCAGATCTTGGAGTGTCATGGGTCGTGTAACATTCTGTCCGATGCATCCTAGACATAGCTGCCTAGGGTCCACCCATGTTTTCGTCAATGGAACAATATATTGGTTTATTGCTTCAGATGAAGATCAGATGATTCCGGGCTCGATCCTTACGATTGACATAGAAGAAACCTTTGGAAGAATTAACCTCCCGATGGATGTCACAGAGCACTCGTACTTGGTTGATCTCAAAGGCTGTTTATCCCTAGTTACTGTACATGATGAGGATGAGATCATGGATATATGGATTCTCGAAGACAAGAACGAACCTAAATGGGAACTGAAATGCAGCGATCAAGTCCCCTTATCGAATGACGAATGTGTCGAATTTGTAGTTGCAAGGGAGAATGACATTTTCGTCATAGCTTCAAAACATTACTACATCTATGATTCAGACCACAAAGTTTGGAGAAAGCTTGATATATCCATGGCTTTTGAAATGAATTTTCCGGTCGCTTTCACGTACACTGAAAGCTTTCTTTCTTGTAAGTAATTAATTTACTTATCGACTCCATTTTATGGTTTAAATCCATGTGTGATATCAACATTGTAGCTGTTGTTGCTGCTGCTTTTGCGGGTGGTGGACGGATTGAATACATCTCCGACGAAAGAAGCATATGAAATTCTTCTTCGGGGCGATTAGTGTTTACCTTCTTCTTCTTTCGTTTTTACAATGTTGTAAGGTTGTTGTGCATCTGTTGTATGTCAATGTGTGATGTTTTTGTTAAGCATTCAATATTTATAGGTAGTTTGGCTTGGCCTGGACACTTTTGTGCCATTGTTGGTCGGTCAAGACCCCTGCATTAGTCTGATGTCCTAAGTAATATCTTGATTTTATATTTTGAAAATGGCAAAATTCGATATTGAATCGGTAGACGCAGTGTAGGAAATATTTCCTAAAAAAAACAAAATTACTAAGTGTTAGTGTATGTGGTCAATTATAACAAATGTACCAGCAGCTTCTTCAAGCTGGTTTTCTTGGAAAGCCTACAAAGTTCCGTGTAGCTGAAATTGGTTGATTCCAAGCAGATCGAACACTGTAAATCGTTCTTCTTCCCTTTCTTTCTTCACCCACTTTTCTCCGTTCTATTTCATTTCAACTGTAAGATCTCCATCCCCTCTTTTACTGGTTTCTGTTTGTAGTTCTGCTTCATTTCAACTGTAAGATCTCCATTTTTCCTTTTAAATCTTTTGTATTTGTTACCTGCTTGTTCTATTTGGTTATTTCTTTGCTTGTTTGTTCTTTTACTTCATTTATTTATTTTGCAAGAGAGCTTGTTCTTCTTGAGTACTTGTTTTATTGTTGCTATTTGGTAGCTTTTGCATCCTTCAGTTTTGGGGATTTTCTAGGTATCCTCGCTTTTGGTAATCTGCACGTTTGGGTTCACGATCCGCTTAGATAAATCACATTTGGGTCGGTGTTTTTTCCTTAGGGACTTGAAGTGTCAGTAGATATATTTTCATCTAATTTTCTCGTTTTATTTGTTCTTTTTTATTAACTTAAAATATTCATAATCATATTGTTGTTTTTGTTTTTAGTTTTTAGCTTGCATTTTCCGCTTTAAACGTGAATACTGATTCTTTTTCTGTAAGTGTATGCAGTTTTGAGATTTTTTTTACGAACTGTAATTTTGCTTTGTTTCTGAATTTATAAATTTTACGAACTGTTGGTGGTTTAAAACTTAGTTTTGCAGTTACCTTTGATTAAATCTGTTTGGTTACCCGTTTGGATTCCTTTTTCATAGCTCCTCATACCTTTAGCTATAGATGATTACTTGAGGTCATGCCATTCTTTTAGATCCCATAGGGTGTATAGGGAGAGGGCTCGACAGAGTGGTGTCAAGGAGACTAGACTTAGAGTTTGTTCATTGAATGTATGCACATTAAATGCTAGGTTACTGGAGCTGATCGACGTATAGCAAAATAGATTTTGCATGTATTCAGGAGACTAGGTGGAAAGGGGCTTGCGCCATAGAGTGTAATGGGTACAAGTTGTGGTATTTAGGCGTAGATAACGCTAGAAATAGGGTGGTTATCTTGGTATCCTCTAAGCTCAAGGAAAATGTAGTCGAAGATTGTAGATATGGGATAGGATCATGATGATTAAGGATATTATAGAAGAGGAAGTGGTGAATGTCTTTTCAGTGTACGTCCCATACGTTGGCCTTGGTGAGGGGGAGAAACGTTGTTTCTTGGATCAATTAGATGATGTACTTAGGAGCATTTCAGAGGACCAAAGAGTTTTCATAGGGGGATACTTCAATGGCCATATAGGTAGTGCAACCGACGGGTATGACGGTGTTCATGGGGGTTTCAGTTTTGGTAGTAAGAACGAGGAAGGGCGTACGTTGCTTGAATTTGCTACTACACACGATATGGTGGTCACTAACTCCTTGAACAAGAGAGATGTGAACTTGATTATATTCCATAGCGGGGGATATTGTACCCAAATCGACTACATCCTAGCTCAAAATCGGGATCGATAGGCTTGTATTGACTGTAAGATGTTCCCTGAATAGGCATGTGCATCATAACACATATTGTTGGTTTTGGTGTTCCGCGTACGCCATGGGCGGAGCACTCATAGGAGGGCTAAACTTGGTAAACTTAGGATCCTTTGGAAGAACTTACATGGAGCGGCAATTGATGACTTTAGGAGTAAGGTTTTTTCCAATATAGATTTTGGAACTACAAACTCAAATAATGCAAATATGTTATGGAAAAATATGGCAAGTTCCATCAGAGAGGTGGGCAAAAACACCATTGGGTTGTCGACAGGGAATGTCAAGGAGCATAAAGAATCGTGGTGATGGAACGACGAAGTCCAAACTAAGGTGAAGACAAAGCAAACTTGCTTCAAGGAGTTTCTACAACGCAATACGACGAAGAAAGATCGAGAGCTAAACAAAGATATAAGGAAGCAAAGCGGGAAGCCAAGAAAACGATGGCTAAAGCAAATGATAAGGCATACGAGGAAATGTACAAGAGATTAGACATTAAGGAAGGACAAAACGACATCTTCAGACTTGTAAAATCCAGGGGGAATAGGAAAAATGATCTAGGTAGCATTAGGTTTATTAAGGACAACAATGGTGTTCTTTTAGTGAAAGATCATGATATTAAGAGGGTTTGGGGTAGTTACTTCTTTGGCTTATTTAATGATTGTGCCTCTCCCTGTAGAGATAGTACCGTTGATGGGTCAACCGACCATCATACTACGGCCAATGACTGCCCTACAAGTAGGATTGGGTTTGAGGAAGTCAAAATGGCTCTTAGAAAGATGGGAAGGGACAAAGTTGTTAGTCCAGATCAAATTCCTATCACTGTGTGGTTGGCCCTAGGAGAAGAGAGAGTTAAGTGGTTGACCAACATCTTTAATATTATTTTAGAGACTGCCAAGATGCCAGAGGAGTGGAGAGAGTCTACGGTGATATCAATCTTTAAGAATAAAGGAGATCCCCAACGTTGTGGCAATTACATAGGTATTAAACTACTCAGCCATACCATGAAGCTTTGAGAAAGGGTGATAGAGGCTAGGTTGAGACGGGTTACTAGGGTTTCGAAAAACCAATTTGGATTTATGCCAAACAAGTCTACTACGGAGGCGATTCATCTACTTCGACGACTTATGAAGAAATATAGGGAAAAATAGAGATCTTCACATGCCGTTCATTGATCCTGAGAAGGCGTATGATAGCGTTCCCCGCGATACGATCTGGAAGACCTTGGAAACAAGATGGATCCCAACTGCTTATATCCGGGAGATTCGTGATATGTATTGTAGATATACTATATACGTCAGGACTACAGTTGGCGACACCGAGGCATTCCCGGTGAAAATCGGACTCCACCAGGGGTCGGCTCTTAGCCCTTACATCTTCGCCTTGATTATGGACGACATCTATTGTGCGACACCAGACGGTGTTCCATGGTGTATGCTTTTCGCTGACGATATTGTCCTAGTTGTTGAAACAAAAACTGAGTTGAATAGTAGACTGACTACCTGGAAGATTGCTTTGGAAAAAAAGGTATAAGGATCAATATTGAAAAGACAGAGTATTTATGTTCAAACTTCAGTGGGAACCAAAATGATGAAGATGTAGAAGTATGCATAGAAGGACACGTTCTCCCCTCAAAGGATTGTTTCAAGTACCTAGGGTATATGATACATAAGGATGGGGGTGTAGATGATGCCGTTACACATCGTATAAAGACGGGATGGCTAAAGTGGAGGGCTACTACTGGAGTTTTGTGTGACAAAAAGGTGTCTCAAAAACTTAAGGGAAAATTTTATAGAATGGAAATAAGACCAGCGCTGCTGTATGGATCAGAATGTTGGGCAATCAAGAATGATCCCGTAAGGAGGATGGAGGCCGCAGAAATGAGAATGCTTCGATGGGCATGTGGTAGGAATCTATGGGATATGACACCAAACTCTGCTATTAAGATGTCCTTGGGGGTGGTGTCTATATCCGAAAAATTGAGGGAGGGAAGACTACGGTGGTTTGGGCATGTCCTTAGGCGACAACCGTCGGATGCGGTTAGGAGGGTAGAGTCGATTACAGTCGACGGTGCCAGAAGGAGAGGACGACCAAGGCGGAAGTGGGAAGACTGCTTGAGATCTGATTTGAAGGATTTAGCCCTTACCGAGGACATGACCTCTGATAGGAAAGTATGAAGACTTAAGACTATGGTAGCCGATTAGTGCGGGTCACATCCATAGGGTGTAACATTTCTGTCTTCTTTTAATGCCTTTGTTGTAATTTCTATGACTTCTACTTTTTATACATTTATGTCATTGGAATTAATGAAGGCTTAGAACTAGGGTAGCAGATTAGTGTTGCCTTAGTTTAGGTTTTAACCCATTTAACTTTATTCATTCTCGTAGCTTGCTATCGTTGACTTCTGTGTATCATTCTCTTAATGTTTCCTCTTTTTAATTTTAGTCGGGTCTTACGTTTCTGTCTATATGCAGGGATTTATTAGCAGGGATTACTTCCCATTACAGACGCAAATATGAAGACTGTATATGAAGAATGTTTAAATATGTATTTATTTATTTATTTATACATGCATTGCATTTTATCTTTAATTTTAATTTTCTGACTGCCAGAGGTCTTCCACGGAAGTTTCTCTCAACCATGCGTTGGGGGTAGCTTACTACCCTACCTCCCCCTTACCCCATTGCATATGGGAATAAGGTTTTGTTGTTGTTGTTGTTGTTGTACCAGTTTGATATTGTTTTTGAAAAGTGCCGTTAGAAAGTGCTACAAGAAAGTACTTTTGAAAGTGATTTTAAAAAGTTGAGTTTAAGATTTTAGTGTTTGATATTGATTTAAAAAGTATTTTTTGAGAAAGTAAAATATATATTTTTGACATTAAATTATAAATTTAAAATATATTATTTTAAATTTATTTATATTTTAATATATTAAATATATTAACTTAAATTATAATAAAAATATAAATAAATAAAATAATTATAATATAAATATAATTTATATTAATTCACTATTAATGTTTTAAGTTATTAATCATAAAATCTAATTACTCTTAGGTAATTAGAAATAGTAAATTATTGAAATACAATATATTATTCCAAAGAAATTAACAATATATTA